TCCCGCGCGAGCGGCAGGGGCAAGCCCGGGGGGTGTGAGCTGGGGGGCGCGGAAGCCCGGGGACAGGGCGCCGAGGGTGATTTGCCACACAGCAGCGGGGACCCGAGGAAGCCCCTTGGCGAAGCAGCCGGGTCTCCTTGGCCCTGGGCTGGGGAGTGCAGGCTGCAGCTCCTTCTCAAAGCGTGCTCCTGGAGCCTGGTTTTCGGTGGCACCCTCCTCGCTCTTTAATTGCTTCCTGGTTTAAAAAAAAAAAAAAAGGGCTTATTCATAGTGTCTCTTGCCTCGTGCCCTCTAGTTTGTCCCCTTGAAGTTTGTGGTGAGTTAATGATCTGAATCTGCTTCTGGATGATTACCTGAACTCTGTGTTCCACTCCTCCGGGGCAGGGGAAATGTCCCCTCAGCTGCAAGTGTTAACCTTCACATGGGCATGGAGAAAGCAGCTTTCGGCTGGCTTCATTTAATTAATGAAGCTGGAGTCGAGTTCCACTCTATTGGTGGCATTTGATAGGAAACTTCCTTAGCTAAAAGATATACACAATGCTAGGCTTCCTAGCCATTCAGCTTGGAGGCCAAAAGTGCTCGGGGTCTTGACGTGAACACAATTTCTCACCCCCTCTCTCTGTTTTTCAACTTCTGGTAAAAAATCCGTTAGCATACTTGGCACGTCCTGTGCTGAAAACAGGAGAACTTTCCACATGTAGCATTAGCTGTCTACATACATTGAGAGATTGCTGAAAGCTTAGGATAGGCCAGTAATAAAAGTTGCAGATAAATAATGGTAATTCAGTCATATATAAATGATGAACAATTTGTCATAATATTAGACCAGAACATCCCTTTTAACTGGTCCACAACCAGTCTCATTATATTTGTTTATTGTTGCATAATTGGAACCATTTATTGGTAGGTTGAATATTGCCATGTTTTGCATGAGCGTTTACATTGTTTTTCATTTATTTTCTTTAGTTTGGCACAAAGGATTTAGTTATTAACCAAATCCTGCAATTTGCTTCACGTCAGGGGAATGATTTCAGTGTTACACAGAGGGGTGTGTGGGGAAGCATAATATTAAAATCAGATGAATAACTCTGAATCTAAACATTATTTAGTAGATCAAATTTATCCCAAATTCAGAAATGCTATCAGTAAGCTCAAAACAAATGAATTTTGAAGGGAATATACTATCCCTACAAAAAACACCACAGACTGTGACCTAGTCATGTTACTTGTATTCATTGAAATAAATACATTTAATTGAAAGCTATACTTTTGAATCGTAAGTGTTCATTGATATGTGACCAGGAAGTCAGATTCTTACCAAACTAACATATTATCTGATCACAATGCTTTGACATCATCCTCATTATGTGTAAACATTTTTCAAGGCAGGCTTATAACAAATGTATCGTTCCTTTATTAGCATGCATGTGCGCAAACAGTTGTTTTAATAGTCTGCCAAAGAAATATATTTTCTGATACACTACAGTTATGTTATGATACGTTTGCTTAGCTGGAGACCTGTGATTTTAATTAGTATGGCCTGCCTGCAATGAAAAGATTTACTCTTTCATATTCTTCGTTCTAGATCTTGGATGAGTTTTGCAATGTGAAGTTCTGCATAGATGCCAGTCAACCAGATGTAGGGAACTGGCTCAAATATATCAAGTTTGCTGGATGCTACAATCAGCACAACCTTGTTGCATGTCAGACAAGTGATCAGGTATGTTGTGGATACTTTCTGCACTTACTTTTTTTTAAATAATGATAAAGGATCAGTGGGAAAACATAACAGAAAGTCCTAGTAGATTTTGTGGCCTGTTTATTGTTATGGTAAAAAGATAAGGCACAGATGTGAAATGCAGAAGAGCATAATTTTTACTAGCTAGTGTATATAATAAGAATTTCCTATTTTTTCACTTTATGGCTCCCTTCACAAAATACCATATTTTTTTTCCTGTGCTTGATAAAAATTGGTCTTGTCTTATTTATTTATATGAAACCAGTATTTTCTGTGTGCCATGTATTTTCTAGCTCCTCTAGCAGTTCAGCTGCATGGCTAAATTGCGACATTCATCTCATAAGAAATTGTAATATGAAATTAATGGAAAAAAATGTAGGTGAAGTTAAAAAAAAAACCCCCAAATAAATTTTTGTATATATGGCTGCAGATATGAATATACACGTGCATTATGTGAATTATGTCTTCTCAGGCAATGTGATAGAATTAATAATAGTTCCGTTCTGAACTTATCTGAACTTATGGTAATTTTTTTTCTTTTAGTTTATTGCGAGATTTTAAAACATCAGTTTTTATTGGATTAAATTATTAGTTACCTTTGTACCTTGTAAAAGAAGGCTGGGTAAGGGAAAGGAGAAACAGTAAAATATTTTGTTTTGAAGCATTTTGTTGAGTTTTGGAGGAGGGGTTGTTTTTGTTTTTGAGGGGTTTAATTTTAAATAAAGGTTTGTTTAAGTTTTCAAATTTTAAATACCACAAAGCAATGTTTTACCTGACTGAAGTTAAGTTTAGAAATATTAATTCTTTAAAGAAAAAAAAGAACCCTAAAATTGCATGGGATAGCAGAGAGTGAATTCTTGTTTTATATTTAAACATTGATATCTGGAGGCATAACATTTTATTCTGTTAAACACTTGCTTAGTTTTTCACCAACTAACTAATGAATTAAATCAGGTGGATTTTAAAGATTACCTTTAGTAGGTTTAATTGCCTGGAGGAAAGAATTGCAACCAGACACAAAGCTTCAAACAGAAATCATTCTTTCCAATCCAATTCCTTACATTAATAAAATGGATGTCAGGCAGTCTCCCATTTGCAGCAGCATTCTCAGATTATAGATTTGCATCAAAGTCTATAATTGATTAAAACTGGCATAAATAGCTTTCTCAGAAACTGTCATCCACTACCCTTTTCATTTTAAACTTTTACAATTCAGAGTTAAATGCATGCAAGATAGACTGAACCAACCTACTGTGATATAACTTTTATTTTTTTGTGCACTAGGTGGTTCAGCTAAAGAAACAATAAAGGTCACGGGTAAACGAAAAATAAATTCTCCAAGTTAAAACATACTTTATGCAGAAAAACAATTATATTGATGCAGAACATTTATTTGATTGTGTTGCACAAAGGGAGACTATGTAGCTGAGTTCAAATGTCAATATTTTACATTTACTAAGATGGAATAAATGTACAAGTTTAGTAAAGGCATCATATGAATTGATAAGAGTTGCTTATTGGATTCCTGTTGCTATTGTCGATCTCTCAGCAAAATATCTATTGTACTGAAATAGTCGAATCCATTTGCATGCGTGCGCACGCATACATTTGGCCATTTTTGGAAGAGAAAGTTATAGAGCTTGTAAGTTTCTCTTTTTTTAATGTTTACATTGCTGAGATTTGGTAATGGTGCCTGTACTGCTGCCAATCATTTCTTTCATTCACTGGAGACATTTATTTTGCACGGTATTGTGATATTCACAATTCCATATTTTTTTTATAGCTTATTGTTGCAGAGCTTTGTAAATTAAAAATGGGTGGTTGTTCAAGTAGTAGACAAAACACGCTGCCAGCAAGAGAAGATGGTTTGCTGTTCATTTGGATTTCTAGAACCACTGAACATTTATCCACAAAAGATATAAATGTACTCCAGCATTTTATGAGCATAGCCTAACAAGTTAATGTGCTTTTGAATCTTAAACTGAATCACATTTCCAACAGTTAGCTCCTCCTTCTGTTTTACTCTGGAACAGACCTGTGAAAGGTAACATAAAATATAATAGGAGACCAAACTGTGAAATTGACATTACATGGGCAAACGGGTCCATATGCAAAGATTGATGAATATAAGTCAGGGTTAAGCTTAGTGTGCATATTTGTTTGTGTGAATGTACAGCATGTGGGCGTATTTGTGTCAGTTTGTCTTTATAGATCCCAGACACACAAAAAAGTGTTAAGCCAGAGAATACATATCAGCAAGTTGTAGATAGATACAGATAGGTATAATAAATGCCACACAGTTAAAACAGGAGGGCCCAATCTAGCTTTGATATGAGAAAGCTGCACTAATCACAGGGATGAAAGAGCTGACTGAAGAGGTTCTCCGGGTCTGTTGTTTCACTCTCTTTTCCATTAGGAATATGGCCTGCCAAATGGTGAATAAGCACTACTCATCACATAATGAACACTCTCATTGTTTGAGATATTGTTCACAACTAAGGCAAGGACAGAGACACTGGATCAGGAGTAATCGTTAACCTCTAATTACTTCAACTCACCTGTAAAATTCGCCAGCAAACTTTACACTCTAACCTGAACTGGTAAAAGATATTTGCCAGCGCTCTGATCTTGAGGCTGAACACAAGTTTATAGTGCTAAGTGCAAGCCTGATTGACAGACAGGTATGAGCCCACAACTGCTGGAGGCCGGGTTTTCAGATGAATCTCTGAACTGTCTCTAACCTTGTCGCTGGACAAAGCAGAACCTTTCTCCATCAACAAAAATAGAAAGGAAAACATTTTTGTTGTTGTTTTCCAAGTTAGACTTTTTTTGCAAGATGTATCACCCCCCTCCCTCCCCACTCCCCACCATATTCTGGTTTGAGGTCAGGTTTCATCACTTTGGATCAACTTTACAAAAGGTTTAGGCTCTTTCTTATAACTATACATGAGCTTGTCTGAGATGAACAGCTCGATAATAGTGGGATGCAGTCAAAACATGTATGCTGGGTGCAACTCATATTTCATTTGATTGGAGGTGGAGTAGGATTTAAAGGCAGCATTTCTTTGGGTTTCAAATAAGGTTGATATAGGATTTCTTTTTGCTGTCTTCCTATTATCTCCTGTCATGCCTAATCAGTCCTAAAAGTATGTAATTTAAGCGGAACGTGAATAATAAATTCCACAAATAGCACACTTTCTTCTTTTCTTTTCCCTTTCCCTCCAAATAGCCCACAATATGTAGAGGATGGCAGAAAATCCTGTCACCATTATTTTACTGGAATGTATTTTTTAATTTTAAAATAAGCTTGGATACGACAGTAGCTTTTACTAACTTGTAAGAGTTAGGTTTATTATTGTTAAATGTCTATCTATTTAGTTTGATTTTTAAAAATGAGTATGAAAAGATTAGAAGCATTAGACTTTTTGACAGTACTGACATTCAAGCAAAAGCATAATTTTTTTAATGGAAATTCATTTGAAAATAATGTAGTCACTACAATAGTGTCTTTTTAAGAGAACTATAGTATGTTCCAAATGCAATGGCAAGCTGACATCATACTAGGACTTTTTTTAAAAGCCCAGTTAGTTTTATTTGTTCTTAAAACTCCCAATTATTATTTTACTTACTTTCCACTTACAGGCCTCTGACAGGGGAATATCTCTACATTACTGGAGAGCTGCTTTTAGGCTTTAGAATTTCTCTTTGAGGAAGCAGCCACTGCAGATTCATTTTGTTTTATCTATTGCAGATTCCAAATAGCTCGATATTAGTTGACTGAGGTTTTTGTTAGCTGCATATTCAGAAATTAAATTTTATTATACTCAATTATAGTCTACTGGCAAAGACAGGGCAGCAGTATCTCACTCCTAGCAACTCCGAAGGTGGATTGTGCCAGCGTTCTAATAGAATTACTGTGTGTTTTACCAGATCTGATCACATCTTAGAGTTTTACAAACTTTCTTAATCTGCCAGCACAGCCTCATGTTTCAGATTTTAGTGCCTCTGTCCCCACTCCACACGCATTTTGCTCCACGCAGCCAGCTGGGAGAATAATATTGGCTGAATTCTCAGTTTGTTCCTGTACCCACCTGCAAGAGTTTTGTATTTGAAGAATGATTAAAAGAATAGTTTGATGATATGCTGAAGTTCAGCTTTTGCCTGCTAGTTAGAAAGCCTTATTTACACAAAATTCATATATGGGACAATTCTGCCTTTCTTCCTCATGCCGATTTATTCAGAAAACAAGGCCCGATCCAGGTCCCACTGAAGTTAACAGCTGTTTTTTCATTTACTTCAGCAAGAGTTGGATCAAACTTATTGTTTCACTGACATCAACAGAACTCCTCAAGGAGGAATGACCTTCTTATTGTAAGGATGGCAAAACAACTGGTCTTCTGGTGGTCTTGCCTTCCTGCAGTTAGAGTTTATGCTAGGTGCGAAACTCTAGTATGATATTTTTGCATGCATATATTATGTGTAATCTATTAAAGTGAAGTCTTTTGATTCCAAGGTTTGCCTTGTCCCGACAACCTAAATCTGGAATGAAATTTCCAGAAACCTTAAGTCACTCCTGATCTCACCAATTAGGACAAGTGATAAATCTTTTATTATGGAGAGAACCTTAACAGCTAGTATTTAGCAAACACAATCAGACAAGTTCTGTCTGAACAACAAGTAATTCATTGATGAAAGATTATCTAATCACATTCATTTGCTTTGCAGAGATAAACTAGAGGATTAGAGATGTCCACAGAGAGGATACCAGGCTGTAATTCACTTAGTGACTTCTGCCAACTCTCTTGTGGTTTATACATGGCAGCTGGATACTAGAGAATAATTCTGCCATGTAGTCACGTGAGACATGCACTGTTCTGCTTTGTGATTTACTTTATAAAGAGTTACTGCTTCCAGGAACACCCTGGTGAGATTGGTGAAGATACTGGTCGGTTCCTTTCCTGACATCGTGTCAGGACTTGGGT